AAGTTTGGCTGACCACTGAATAATGATACAGTTATGAGTTTCAGGAGGAAGAATGGTCACACTAAGACAAAACTATCACCCTGGTGTGCAAAAATGGATTAATCAGAGAAGCATCACATAGGAGACCTTGGCTGTATGTCTAGTTCTTCCACTGGATAGGATACCTAACAGACGTCCTGCCATATATCTTAGGATTGTTGTAGGGATTTGAATATTAACGGGTAAACACACTTTGATAATTTTTATGAATATGTCTGTTCAATTATTTGTAAAAGTGATGAAGGTGGCTTATTGAAATTGAGATACTCACTACAATCCTTACCTCCCCCCCCCCTCTTTTTTTCCTATTTGGACAGTGTAAAGAACATGACCTGGCCATGATTAACCAGTTGCTGGATGATCCGAAGCTGACAGCCAGAAAATACAGGGAGTGGAAGGTCATGAACACCATGCTGATTCAGGACATCTATCAGCAGCAGCAGGACCCTGCATCCGCATCAGCCCCTGCAGGCTCCCCCTAGGGAGTCCGGAAACCATCTTCCTCTGCCTCTGTTGAAAGTTCTGTTTGACAACAAGCCAGCATTCTCTGCCCTTCTCCCCCCAGGCAACTCTTCAAGATGTTGCAAGAGCTTACATTTTCCTTAAAAGGAAAACTGAGACCAGTTCCTCAAGTACCAGCTTCCAGTAGAGATGCAGTCTTGATGAGGGCCAGCACCAGGAGCAGCAGGACTCCTTCCAGGTGTGGCGTTCCCATGGAGACTGGAGGGATGGAGTCAAGTTGAACAGTCTTTGTGTTCCTGCTGGGAGCTCAGTTATGCCAGACTCTAGGTGGAATGTGAAAACTCTAGCTTCTGTTCCCTGCTCTCAAGAGAATTACAACAGTCTGTGGACGAAGGATCACCTTTTTACCATAGAAATATTCAGTTCTCCAATTCTACTGCGTTGGGCAGCTGAGTTCTCCAAATCATTTTGTTGGATGAAGGAATGTTTTCTATGGCAGCAACTGGAACAGGACAAATGTTTTTGTGGAACTGAAATCCCCTGCCCCTGGTCCAGAAAGGTGGTACCTTTTCCACAAGTGGAGAAACACTTCATAGCGAGTGGGGTGTGGGAGAACCCAAGAAGGAGGTGTGTTCTGTATTCCCCTCACTCAAAGGACAGCTTGATGGGTCATACTTCCCCAGCTGGGGGTGGGGTGGGATCTCATTATCTTTCCTTTCCACAGAACAGCTAACAATAATGTCTCCTTATACTTGGAGGCCTCTCCTCATTCCCAGCGTTTCTGAACCACTATAGGAGGCAGTAACAGGTCCCGCAAGGAATGTTTGCTGCAGTTGTCCTTGCGTGTGTGCCTGTGCGCAGTATAACTTTATGTCTAGGTTCCCCAGGATAAATATTGATGAGATCATTCTGTTATCTGAATTGTTTAAATACCTTTACTCCAAAAAAACAACAACAGCCAGCCAACAAAAACGACAAGAGAGTTAAAACATGATTGTTTTATTTTTGTATGTTGATGTCACATTGTGTCCTATGTGAATAGCCATCTATAATGTTTGTTATTTAAGTATATTTATAGAAGTTCAAATTACTAGTGTTTTAAAAGATGATATACTATTCTATGTTTTGCTCAGTATATATTCTCAAAGGATATACATTTTTGCTTGAGAAAAATAGAAATACTATTGATGATTGATTCATTGGAGTTATTACATATATAATGTATGAGGAATGCTCAGGAAATCTTGTGGGATCAATGAGGGGCATGCAATAATTATCTTTCATTTTCTGATTTATCTCTTTCTCTCTCCCACCCTCCCTCCCTCCCTCCCAGCCTCCCTTTCTCCCTGCAGAGGGCTTAAATTTCTGTTTTAAGTCACCCCCTTAACTGGAAATGGATTTTCATCTTACATTATCCCTTTGGATAAATAAACTTTAAATCTTATGCCATTTATGCCCTAAACCAAATGAAACACAACTAATGTAGTCTTTTGCCTAAAGACCTGTAGAAATTTAGGGGTCTGTTAAAGAGAACTAATTTCATTAGAGAAGCAATATGAAAGTCTTCCCTTACTAATCATCATGAATATTTTTCACCATAAAAGTAACCACAAACCACCAAAACCTCACTTTGGCCCTACCCTTAGCAAATGGTCATCATAACACAGTTTTCTGTATAGCATTTAACCATGGCTTGACATTCAAATGGAAATAACCCCTTAGTTTTATCTGCAAACTAAATGGAAATAGTTGCTGAATATTTTCCCAAGCTTTACTAAGAAGTCTTAATACTTTGCAAAAAAAAAAGAAAGAAAGAAAAGAAAAACAAAACAAAAAACCGCCAACCTAAGCATTAGGAAAGAAAAAAATCAAACTAGAGAAAACACACACACAAACCCAAAAGAGAAAGCAACCTGCAGTGTTAGAAGCTTGTGTGAGATAAGAAACCAGGGCAGTAAACTCTTCAAAGCTCCTACACCAAGTGGAACATGCTGGGTGAGGTCACAGGCCACACAGAAGAGGGCGCCTGGCCTGTGATGAGTTACTGTTGGCACAGAGAGAAGTAACCATTCATGTCCTCAGATTGGGATCTGAAGCTTCTGGTAGGAGAGGCCGATACTTTCATCTCTCCTCTGGAAATGATCATTTAGCAGTTATTAGCACATTGATTTTGTAGGACTCACAATGTCAGCCACCTGTAGAAGGAAGGAGACGTAATGGAGGAAATAATAATGGAGTGTGACATACTGTTTTCCTACCTTTGTTCTCTGGTTCCCAGCACCAACCTATACATTTCAAGAGTTGTTTTTTTGTTTGTTTTTTTTCCCCCTAAATTGAATTCTTCCAAAAGCTTTTGACTAGGGCTTGGGATATATTTCAGTGTTCTACTTTGGCTTTTCATGAATACACATTTAACTGACCTTTTAGTAGACTTTCCCTTAGAACCATCCAGAAGCAAAGTAGGTTCGTGAGATTACTTAATCAAGCCGTTCGGTTATGTTTCAAAGTCAAGTTAGTCTAGACATGCCTGCTTTGTTAGTTAGAACAGCCACTTTGCAGAATCTCCCCAGATGGGAGTTAAACTGAGCTGTACCATTTTGCATTCTGCTCTCCTAGACCAAGGGGAGACTGCCCTACCCACACCTATAGACACAGGGTCTGAGGGCAGTGGATTGACCCAGAACCATGGCTGTTCAGTAAGGAAGTAGAGAATCTCTAAGTGTCACCAGGTCCAAAACCTGTGGGCACCTGCTATTGATTAGGATCTGGATCAGACTCCTCCTTGGGGTTGCCGGGAGGACCACTTCTCACCACTGTTAGTCTGTAGACCCGAACTGGTGCCTGCTAGGATACCCTCACCTGCTCTATTGCAGCACTCGCTAAATCAGATGGCCCCATATGTGGGTTCCATCTTTTTTTGCTTTGAATAATTCTTGGTTCTGCTGCAATCCCAGCATAGTATCAAAGGCTTGGGAAGAATCATAAAGCACATTTTTGCAAAGACTCCAGGAAACCTAAGAAAGAACTTATGTTTGAAGTGAGATTTCAATGTGAACCAATGCCTTATAACCAATGTATGCAGCACTTTATAGTTTGCCCACAGTGTGTTTCAGGCTCCACCTCCCCCTCCCCAGTGGTCTTCATGGGATGATTGTGGTTTATTGCTACTCAGTCTGATGGAGCGAGGAAACACACTCTGAAAGGTGAGGTGCTGGGGAGGGCCCCACGTGGTATAGCCAGGACTTGCACTTGTTCCTCCCTCTCCCCTTTGCTCAGTTGCTGTTGCGTCCAAGTAGTTGGACTTGGAGTGCCCATGCCTGTGTGCCTAAACAGGCAGATGCTGTGGTGGCTTTTGCAAAGTCATCCATTTGAACCCCCCGGGGAATGGGGGAGGGAGCCTTCTTTTCCTTGAACACAGTCTCTTCCCACAGGTTACTGTCCCTCCCGCAGTGACCTGCTGACTGTGAATTGGGGTTTAACCTAAGAACTCTGGGCTTCTTTGCCTTCCTTCTGAGAAGTCTACTGCTTGTGAGGTGCTGTGAGACCTTTGGATGAAAGAGATACACTTCAAGAAATGGAGTGTATTGTTTTGTTTTCCTTTCAAAGAGTGTCAGGAGATGTCAGAGACCGAGCTTAGTGGCTTGGGGCCACTAGTCACGTAATTGTGAGGATAATTTCCCCAGAAAGCCTTTAAATCACAAACGAAATCAGAGATAAAACATAAAAAAACACTTTTAAGTCTTTTCAAGAGAGATGACATTGAAAGGTAATATTTTGATTACAGCCACACTGAAGACTTAGTGAGCAATTTAAGTACATGGGGTGCCTAACTGAAAGTTACTATTGATTGAAGAGCTGCCATGTCCAAACGAAGTTGTAGGGTGTGTTTCTTCTTCAGTCTAGTAGGAAACGGTATTTGATTGGGGTGTTCCCATGTATTGCCCTTCCAATGTTTTGTACACTTATCTCACAAGAGAAACCAAGTCCTAGAAATGTGAGCTGACTGCCCTGCCCGGGCTTGTGGAATATGGAGTTGAAAAGGAAAACCCTGAAACTGGACTGTAACAACCCATGTGAAATGGACTGGGGAGGGGACAGTTCTGGTTTCACACTATGACGCCAATCTCAGGGAACAGGATATTGAGCGGCTACACGTTTCTCTACATGCTGAGACAGGAAGCTATTTTCTTGCATCCTCTGCACATCTTTCTTTACTCTTCCCCATATTACCACAGGCCACAGAGAAAACATTAAAAAAAAAAGGATTTTTTGTTTAAAAAAATAGTTCTTGCATTTCCCTTGCTGTGAGGAGACTTAACTGCTCTGTATTGGTATTTCTTCGAGTCCAAAGGGGAAGCATGCCCCATGGAAACACAGCACCCCATAATAAAACCAAGATTATAAGTCACCGTGTATGCTAATGTCCTTGCATGAGGGGGATGTCACTTGTAGCACTGCATGGTCTTTGGGGGCAGATGTTAATGTGGAAATGACACCTTCAATTTCGTTGTGCTTTCATTCTCTGTCACCTACCTTCTTGGATTATTCTGAAAAGTGTCACGGCTCATTTCTCATTTCTCCTGCTTTATTTTTTTGAGGTTGACTTGTAAGATAAAAATGAAAACAAGGTGAAATATATATACATAGTAAAATTATATGGAAAAAAAATTAAAATATACTACTGGTGTTCATTTTCTGCCCGACAATGTTGCATTCTCAAAAAAAAAAAAAATTCTCCAGGAAGTGTTTGAGGGCTGGGTGTTTATCATCTGTAAAGGTTACAGCGCCCTCTAGTGCCAGCCACTAAAATAGATGACTGATATTTTTTATTTTTAAAGAAAAGATCTAATTCTGTTGGGAATTCTTTTTCAACAATAACTGATGTGGTCTCCTCCAATGGGCCTCAGCTTACAGGTTTGTTAGCACAGAGATATTTATATATTTCAAAATTATTGGTGTACAAACTTAGCCTTGCATATTATATATCCCTTATCATTACTCAGCACCCACCTCTTCCTTAGAGATTTAAACATTTATTCAGATTATAAAAAAGTTACAACTTGCGGCACATCAGTTACTTAAAATACATAAGCTATTTCCATGAAAAATAAACAAAACTAATACTGAAATAGCATAATAAATCGCCTTTATTTTGGATCCACTCATCAGAGGAAGTTAGCCTGCATTTGAACTGGATTCACAATTCCTTGATTGCTGTCTATACAACCCATTGTTTTATCTCTCTCTCCCAATTCTCACTTTACTTGTTGAGCTCTAGCCTTGCTTTTTTTCCAACTCACAACCACCAAGTACAATGTTTAGGTGCATATGGAAGCAGTAAAATTATTCTAGACCAGTGGTCGGCAAACTCATTAGTCAACAGAGCCCAATATCAACAGTCCAACGATTGAAATTTCTTTTGAGAGCCAAATTTTTTAAACTTAAACTATATAGGTAGGTACATTGTTATTAACTTCATCAGGGTACTCCTAAGCTGGCCTTTGCTAAAAACGTCCTCAATCTGATTGAGGTACGTTCGCTGAGGTCGACCCCTTCCAACTCTCCCATCCACACTCGTCTTGCATACTTGTTTCGTCTATCTCCTTTCATTCATCCTCTCTATATGTCCAAACCATCTCAACATACCTTTCTCAATCCTCGACACTACATCTTCTTTCACTCCACAACGTTCCCTAAAATTAACTTAATAAACTTTACTTAAAGTTTTAAGTCAACTTCACACTGTACGTGCGCGCCCGCACGTGGTATTTTGTGGGAGAGCCACACTCAAGGAGCCGAAGAGCCACATGTGGCTCAAGAGCCACGGTTTGCCAACCACTGTTCTAGACCAAAGGCAAGGGTATAGTCACTATACGATAGTGTGTTCCTGATTTCTAGAGCAATCCTGCACCAGTTTCCTATTGCTGCTGTACCAAATTACCACAAATTCAGCAGCTTAAAATGTGTTTTCTTATAGTTCTGGAGGCCAGAAGTCTGATGCGGCGGTCGGTCCCAGGATGGCGTTCCTCCAGGAGGCTCCAGGGAGAGCACATTTCCTTGCGTTCTCCAGCTCACCCCCATTCTTTGCTTCATCTTCAAAGTCAGCGATGTTGTGTCTCTGCATCTTTCTTCTTAGTCCTGCCCTCCTCAGCCTCTTAGAGACCCTTGTGGTTACATTGGGCCCACCTGGAAAATCCAGAAAAACACCTCTATTTTAAGGTTAGCTGACTAGCACCTGGATTCCGTTTCCAACCTTTTCAATCCCTCTTGCCCTTAATTCCCTTTGTAACATATACACAGGTTCCAGGGGGTGGGACATGTCCATGATTTTGCTCACCATACATTTCTACTTCAAATATTCTTCTTCATCCCCCTGCATCATCATCATGCCCCCTCCCCCCTGAAATTCCAAGATTGCCAAGGTTTAACTATAAGCATGAAAGTCCTTTTTGTCATACCATGTGATTTGAATTGGATTTTATTAAAATGTGGATCACCGTAGAAGAGGTAATTCTATCTTTATGAGTAGAAAAGCAAAAATATCCTAGCTTTTATTTATTTATTATGATTTTTTTGCTGTAAAAAGCTTTACTGTTTCACTTGGTCCAATGCATGGGAGCGGGCCCCAGGGTGGTTAAAAGAATGGCCAGTGGGTTCGGGGCAGAGGCTCAGGCAAAAGCCAGACCCCAGGGGAAGGCAGAGGGGCCCCTCAATGGCCTCTGGGCTCCACAGGCTCCTGGTCACGCTTGAGGGGGAGCCTTTAGAAGAGACACTGGCCCAGCCCAGCCTGGGGGCCGCAGCCTGCGGAGGTGAGTCAGGTGTCGCCCATCTCCTT